TCGGAAGTAGTTTGCCCTTGCCTCCTTCCTAGGGCTGAGAGAGAGTGACTGGCCCAAGGCCACCCAGCTGGCTTCGTGCCTAAGCCGGGACTAGAATTCATGGTCTTCCGGTTTCTAGCCTGATGCCGTAACCACTACACCACACTGGCTTTCAAGTAAGACAGTATTGGTTTACTTGAAAGAGCAATTCCTTTTCTCATTTAAGCAACATTGGCTTGTGTGTTTAATTTTTATCCTGCCTTTCTGTCCAGGGCACAATTAATCAGTTAATAACAATTTTAATTGCTTTTATAAGATTTTAACTAATTCAAACAAAAAATGAGGCCTGCCTAAAGAGGATAGTTTTGACTTTTTCTCACGAAAATAGAAGGATGGGAGAATAAGCACATCTCGCAAGAGAATGCATTTTACAGTTTCTTCCATGTGTCCAACAAATGGACATGAGAAAGTGAGAATATCTTTAAGAGGGGCTCTCCTGCTGACTTTAATGGCTGAACAGGTTCATGCCAGGCCCCAAGCTCTTCAAGGTTTTAATGGTAAAAACCAAAGCTGGAAAATGATTGGCAACCAGTGCAGGTTTTTCAACACAATTATAACTTTCTCCTGTTGTGTTGTACGACCCCTGATGCACCAGATTCAAACTGAATCTGTATTGCTGCCAGCACCACCTGCAAATACATTTGGCATTTGGGGAGAACTTCCAGATGGAGGATCTGCTGTTTCAAGAGAGCACAGACTCATCCACCAGAAGCTGAACCACCATCTCAGAATTTGGTTTTCTATTTTGGGTTGTTTAGGCTTAACTTCAGCATGTTCACCTTCTTTCCCATTGTTGACCATCAGGATGGTTAAGGGAATCAAGTGTTTCCTTGGACTTAGATACCAGGGAGCAGCAGAACTGTGTGTTAGCATATTGATGGCACTTCAGTTTGCAGCTTCTAATGCTAGAGCTTTTTTCCTTGTGAGCATAGTTTAATGTGTCCATTTATTTTTTTTAAAAAGTGTACATCTATTACCTATTCAGGTGCCGATTAAAGATGACACTTGATATAGCTGATGATGTAGACTTTAATGCACAAAAGCTTATGGTGTAAAGTCTGTTACTCTTTAAGACCTTTAAGCCTTTTTTGCTGTCTTCATTGTCATATATCACACCTTCTGCAGTACCAATGTTACAGCAGTGCTGTATAATTGCTATAGAATATTTTGAATATTCTCAAAATGTATTAAGAAATTTGTGGTTTATGTTTTTTTTTTTTTTTTTAAATAGCTACAAGTGCTACCATTATCAAGAACGGAGAATGGGCTTCCAAATATGCATGTCAGAATGGTACAGCCGGATCCATCTCTCTAAAGCCAGTGCCCAGGCCACGAGTCCTTTCACTGAAAAGTACACCCAAAGGTATTTGATCCCTGATGGTAGCTGGCATACCTTTTTTTTCTTCAAGCAGAACATACTGCCCTACATATTACAAGGAATTCAGAATTTAAATAAGTAATCTTAAAAGGAAATATAAAGGGTTTTTTTCTAAGCTATGTGCATCTTTTCCCTCAGCAAGGATATACAAGACAGATAGGCTGATGGTAATTGACATTAGTGAGAAACATACTGGGAAGTTAGCAGAAGATTGTTAAATCCTTTTGAAGGTCTATTGCTGCCTGTTTTTATGTCCACAGTTCTGATAAAAAAAGGATTGTGGACATCAACTTATATTAAAAAGTTGGGGCTGATTGAAAACTGACACTTCAGCTTGCAATCACAATGGTTATCTTTTTAAAGTTGGAAATAACCTTTGGAACTATTGTAATTGCACTAATAGGCAGAAAGGTTTTATAATCCTTAAACCAGAAGGTGATTTTTCTTGTTCAGGCACTGGCTATCTTGGTAACTTAAAGACAGTTTGAGATCAACTGTAGGTAACTTCCTATCTGAGAGTTGATTTTTTTGGAAATTATATGAAATGTCTTGCTTTTTCTTTATCTCCTTGGTTAATGATCTGCTAGAGATACTATCACCATGGTAGCTGAGTAACTTGACTGCTTTATGTAGATTGGAACCTAGCAGAACATAATCACTTAAAGAATAAATATGACTGGCTACAAATTGATCAGTATAAAAGAGAGACGTTGGGCCTGTTTGGGTGACATTTGGCTGTTACTTTCTCTACATAGATTGAACAGGAGAATAGAACTATAGACCTGACAATTATTCCAGATCTCACTTTAGAAATCAGCAGTGAAAGGAAAGATCAGAAACTGCATCCGGGTGTTTCTGTTTACAGAAGGAGTATTGGCTTGCTTTCTGTGAGAAGGTTGAAGTGTCCAATTAGGCCACTAACAAAAGAGAAGGATCTGCTGCTAATTTGGGTCTTCTCCCATCCTTCATTCTGCAATCGTAGGAATTGAAGAATAGTAGCTTCAGTAACCATTTGGAAGATACCAGATTGGAGAAGATTGCTCTCTGTGGACCCAGTGCATGATGGAATCCCTGAATGGGAACTGTGCCATGTTCATCTCCTATCATTGATTGAAGGGGCAGCTTTGCGTATGTGGGGATGAGAGGAGAGCAGAAACTGCATAGCAGCATCTGGGTTTTCCTTATAGCATTGAACTAAAGAAGCCTTTCTCAATCTGGTGCCTTCCAAATGTGTTTGGGTATAGAACCAAGCACTCCCAGGTAGCATAGCCATTATGAAAGCTGGGTATGTAGTATGCTTCTGCTAACTTTAAAAAAAAAAAAACAAGCTGCTGTTCATCTATAGTTTTGAGGTATGCTTGATACTTTACTTATGTCATATTCTAACATAATTCTTTTGTGGATTTGTTTTTCTTAAGGAGCAAAAAATAAATTAGGCTTAGTGAACCAATGTGTGCCCAAGTCTGCTGGAGCTCTTCTTCCAGGGAAGAAAGCGGGTGATCTAAGAGGGAGTCAACGATTAGGTAAAATGATCATTTCATTCTTGTGTTGTAGTGGTATAATTAAGGTGAAATAATGATCTGTGTATTTTCTGATTTCTTTTTTGTCACTATCAGTTAATTGGTATGGTGTTTGTTCAACTTATCAGACCTAAGTTGGGCTATGTGATTAAACCTAGGTTTTGTATATTTTACTTAATACGGAAGGATTTCTACCTTTTTTTCATGGTGGGGTTTACATTGTCATTGACTTAGTATATCAGTTGCAAAATCCATTAAGGTGCTAAACTAGCATTGGGGAATCTAGATTGAAGTCCACCTTAAGCCACAGAAGCTTACTGAGTGATTTTGAGTCAGTCACTCTCAGTCCAACCTACTTCACAGGTAGGTTGTTGGAGGAAAATGGAAGGTGGGAAAACTATATAATCTACTATGTCCTTTCTTGAAGGAAGGATAAGTTATAAACCTAACAAACAATTATTACAACTTGGGAATTTTTATCTCAGCTATAATTGTATCATTTCTGAAAATTCATATGAAGATATTTAATTGAGAAGGTTCCACCCTTCCCTTGTCTCAAATGGGAAAGGAGGAAGTAAATTTAATCTTACTGGTAGGCTTCTTTTTCTAAGGGTTTCCCACTAAACAATAATTATGATAGGATTATTGGATTCAATTGGATTAAGTCTCCTGCTACATTCTGTCCAGGGAGTTCCTAACCCTATCAGCCAAAATGTTCTCTGTTCAGCCTACCTTTAGAAAAGATGGATCTTTGTTTCTTCCTGCCCAAAGATATAAATTGCAAAACTCACCGGAACCTAAGATCCTGAAAATAAGAAGGTAACAATATAATCTTGCATGTAGGAAAGATTTTAATGGAAATTTCCCTTTTACACAAATGAAACCAAATCTCTAGATCAGAGGATTTCAAACTTTTTCAGGTCATAGACAGAGAAATAGATAGATTCTCATGCCTCTCCAGAACCGATAATCAAGAGGCAAAACTCAAGTAATAGAAAATTGGCTGCATTCAAATGAACCTCTTTTTTTTTTTTTTTTTTGCCCTTACTCTGTCTTTTGATGGGATTCCTGTCTCTTGATGGGATTTCGTGGAGCCCTAGGATTGCATAGAACAGAATCTGAAAAACTCTGCTCCAGAGTTCAGAAGAAGTATATTGGGAGAATGGGGAGAAAGAAAAAACAAGGGAAGGAAATGTTCACACTAAAAATTAAAAACAAAACAGTATAATCAACCTATCTGTATGGATTACATAGTATCTGCTTGAATAAGATATTGGGTCAAAGCACATATCCAAAGTTCATAACAGAGAGTATGGTTGGAGAAAGGTCATCTGGGTCTCCTGTTTAGATACATGAAGGCATCTTCTTCTTTTTCTCTGAATACTGTTCTCACCATTTTACAGAATGTGGAAAAGAAGTGAAAACCATCCTTTTGGGGAGACAGATTCTTCCTATACCCAGTCAAGCAAAACGAACCATCTCTGATGTAATGACTACATCCAGAAATTTTACCTGGCAGCCAAACCCACCTTCCTAATGATCTGTTTGTGTTTGTGTGTGTGTGTGTGTGAATGATTGAAGAAATTACTAGTTTCCCCTGGGTATGGTCTTATAGAATAGGATTGTATGGGTGAGGCTTCTTGGGGAAACAAAAGATTAATTCCATGTATGTAGGACTCTTAGTGTACGAGGGCATGAGTCACAGTAATCAGCGCCTCTGAATTCAGAAAGACTTGCCTGATATGGAGTAGCATGCTTTGAGTGGAAAAGGGCCCAAATCCCTCCTGATTATCTTTTCACAACTGTTCCAGAAGTGGTGTCTCCCTGTTATTAAAAGCACAACTTTTAATAAGTGAAATAAAATCTTCAGCTTTTGATCTCTTACCATTAATATTCGGTAGCTGATACCGAGACAAATACATTGCCTTCAAGATTAATAGCCAAACATACTTAAATGCATTTGCAGATAACATGTAATATGATCTATGGAAACTTCTTCTAATGTGTTCATTTTGTAGATGTGTTCCATGCCAAATTAGAATTTTATCTTTTGCAGGGCCTTCGGCACAAAATGGACCCAGGCACTTATTGTCAGCATTCAGCTCTGGTGAGTAGTTTAATCTTTCCCTCCCCACTAACTCCTAAATGCTTTATGCTATCAAGAAGATTCCAGTCCTGAAATGCATACGTAGGTGTTTTGGAAATGTTAAGATTGTGTAAGTACACAACTTAGGACTTTTTTTGCGTAATATTTTACTGCTTAAATGCATAGGTCTCACATTTAGAGTTAATTTACATGTGCTGAATGAAGCTGCATACTCTCTTTCCATTTTGTGACCAAACATTTATGGATTACTTGGCCCCCTTGGGTTAGTCATATAGAGGCTTGAATGTTTTTATCTACTTAGATTTAATTCTGTAAACTAGAATTTAGCTGGAAGGAAAAAAAAATATCTGGTGGTGAGATCCACTTTGAGTACAAGAAAACAATTCAGCATCCTTCTTGTTCCCACCCGTCTCATTAGCTCCATACATGATTAGTTCATGCTTATATTTAAAGCTATCATCATCATCACATTTAAGGAGGTCATGTTGATTGGATATGTTCTCTTATGATCTATGTTTTATTCTGATTTTTGGACAAAATTAATTCAGGCCTTATTAAAAAAGTGACCAGATGGCACTGATGCACATTATATAAGCTCTTCACTGGTAGACAGAGTCCCTGAAATTACCTATATAATAAAAAATGTATTTTATGAAGAAGCTGCTGCTTCTTAAGCAATCTGGGCTCATAGGAACATGTGTCCTCATTAGGACCAGGATGTACAATGGGACTGAAGTCTTAGTCATGACTCTATTTATTTATTTTTACTGTCTGCATCTCTAGTTGTATTCTAGTGATAGACCGTAATTCATATTTGATTTGATGGTCTAAATATATTTTAAATATTAATAGTAAATCCAGCTATGGCCCAAATTTGCAACTATTGTAGTGCTTCAGATTATTTCTGTGAAAAACTCAAGAAGGCCAACTATTCAAAACATAGCAGTGTTGCCCACAAGGAAAGTAAGAGATACTAATTGTGTTAATGTTTTATTGGGCCATCTCAACAATTCAGTTCTCAGAATTCTTCATTAGGATTACAGACAAAATAAGTGGAGATGGGAGAAGAAGAAAAAATCTAGTGTTAAAACCACAGAGTCTTCATTTTGTCACATACTTAACACAGAAATGGAAGGGAGGTGCCATGATGGTTTCAGCTTGCATTAACAGTCCATCTTCTGCAACAAAGAAACAAATGCCAATAGTTGATTCTTCCATTTTTCAAAATATAAATCAATTAGTTGTTCAAAACAATCTTCATCAAGAATTGTAATCTTGCGTTGCTGAATGAATACTGTCAGTGATCCCTCTGCCTTAATATCTAAAATGGTTCTGGAACATGGCTCACTCTTCTAAGCTCTCAAAAAGACTGCTTGTTCTGAAATGCATTTCTTGTGTGTTAAAATCAATCAAATGAATCTAGAATTTGTGCAGGCATCAAAGAGAATAATTCTTGGATGGTAATCCTAGAATGTTTTCCTTTTAACTTAAATTGGGAACAAAAGAGACAATACTAGACACGAAGAGAATCTGGTCCCTGCAAATTCAGGCCCCCCAGCCCGCCCACTTAGCTGTAAAAAAAAGTAGGAATAATTTCAATACATTAATGAGGCACTAGTAGGCTCTGTCTCCGAAATAAAGCTGTTTGATCTAAGTGGGATGGAGAGAAAAACAATTCTAGTATCATGAAAATGGTATCCCATGTACTTTGCTACCTGAAGTACTTTCTTCCTGAACTTGATGTGTTGATTGCAGGCATGGTATTTGGTCAGCTCAGACTTTTTGCCCTGGTTGATTTCAGTATTCATACTGAGACTGCTAACCCAAAACCCAAAACCAAAAGGGTTTCATGTACATTATGATAACCAGGATGCAAAAGACTCATGGGCCTTATATGTGAAGCAGCTGTATGTGTGCACACATGTAAACCCAATCTGGGAAAGACATTACAAACCAGTGGTTTTCTTACTGCTTCAAGAACCAATTCATTTCATTTGCACCAATGTACTTTTGAATTAGTTATATAACCCTACTAACTAATACATGGCCTCATGCATATAGCAGGATATAGGCTAGATTTTATATTCTCATGGGTGGAATGGGTGATCTGAAAATGAAGGAGTTCTCTGTAATTCTCTTGTAATAGGTTGCTGTCTGTTCAGCTTTAGGCTGATGGTATTTAGGATGATCTCTGCTGGCATGAAGAACTGATTAAAACAAGCTGGTGCTGGCATTTGATAGACCTGAATGTTTTCTTGAATGTGCTTGAAGAATTTCCCACCTCTTACATCACTGATCTTGTTAAAGCCTTGGCAGATTTTAGGCTATTTTTTTTTTATTCTCTGGTGATGTACTTGTTATATAGCAAGTAATTTTTTTTAAAAAAAGTAGGGCTAGCCTTGAATCTCTAATCACTTGTTCCATGGGTTTGAAATAAGGATCAAATGGCTTGAGATGTATTCTTCATAGGGGAATGCCAGTGTTAAACAAAGCCTATATTCTGCATATCTTGAAATTAGTCCATTTTTTATATTTAGGGCATCTCCTCATGCCACTTTGCTGCTTTTTCCTTATAAGCAATTCAGCACTTTTGAATCAGCTTTTCCTATCTGGAAAATTAGAATTAGTGAATCATAAATTTGTGGGTCCTGCATGGCATACAAAGTTGGTTTAATTTTTTTTTTTCCTTTTCCTTCTGAAATACACCTGGAACTTTAAAGTGACAGGTTCCTAACTGATACTGCTTAAAGCACTTATCCTATATTATGACTACTGGTTACTTAATGATAGTATCACTAAACTGAAGCATTTGTTTAATTATACAAATCTGCAAAATTAGCCTAACCCTATATGCAAAGAACTCTGTTTAATGTTTTTATAAACAAACAGAAAATATCAATACAGCAGTAAACAATAAATCAATTTGTATGTGATCAGAAAGAATCAAAATATTATTATCTATTCTTGCTGGGTCAATTGCATTTCAGAATAATGAACATCACATTTGATTGACTAAAAGCTCTTTGAGGAATAGTCTTGATCCATCTTGTGGAACATTAAACCTTCTCCTCTAGTGGTCCTGAAAAATGAATGACATGATCTGTGATATTCTGGTTTATATATTCAGCTTGGGGGACCACCCACTTCCTCCTCCTCCTCCCACTTTCTGTTGCACTGTATCACACATTTGATTAAACCTGAACAGTGTGATGTAATTCAGAGCTGCTTATGAATCACAGAGCAGTTTTATTCTCAGAGCGAGCTATGTTTTAAAGCCTCTTGTTTGTAGGCAACGAAGCTGGCAGCAGTGTTTACCTCGTGGATGTAGTATCTGCCTTTCTGGATTCTTGTAGGGTTAATCTGATTCTGGAATCTCAGTGGAGAAATGAAGAGAGGTTTTGATATGTTGTGAGTTGGTTTATCTGTCCAGCTACTTCATGGCTTCAGAGCTGAGTTGCAAAGATAGTATGTGACAGTATATGGAGAATGTTTCCTGGCTGTTTTTCTTCCAATTCATCTAAAGACATGTTATGGTCCCCAAAATTCTCCTTATCCAACATGCATGTTCGACTAACTGCAAAAGGATTACTCCGAAATCTTCGGCTTCCTTCTGGATATAGGAGAAGCACAGTTATTATTCATGCAGGTTAGTATTTTTTCCTGTATTCCTGGGGGACATCTTGTTGACTTCTGTGGCTGTTAATAGCAACTATGAATTGTGCAGGGTGCCTTTCTTTCTCACAACATTAGCCCTTAGAAAACCAAGTATTTGTCAGACCAATTAATCCATTTTTTACTAGCAGAGTATAATGTGAGAGTGTGTGTGTGTGTGTGTGTACATGTATGGTGGTTGTATGTTAAACCTGACACATGTGTAATCTATTTATAAATTTAAAAAATCATCATTTTAAGGTGAATGTTTGTACCGTATGATATGCAGTCCTTTCCCGTGCTCACATAGCAGACATCTATAGGTTTAAGAATTTTGAATTTCAATTCTATATCTATCTTCATCTCTTTAGCATGATATTACATGGAATTCTGAAAGTCTGTATCTGAATTTGGAGAAGAAATTATTTTACATTAGGAATAACCTCAGTTCTAGGGCATGTCATTAGGCAATAGAAATTTCACAGTTGCAATTAATGGGATTGGGCTTAATTTTTCTAAAATGGACGGATTCATTTTGTTCAGTACTTTTCTGCCTTTGAATAGTGAGTAAAAAGAAAATGCAGTTATGGGAACGTTAGCATGCAGATTTTAAAATACTCAACACGAATTTATGTAAATTATTCAAAGCTTTCTATTATTGTTTTACCATGTGTATTCTCAGGCAGTGAAATTCCGGCTCTGCTTCTTACTTCTCTCTCCACATTCTGTGGATATTTCTTTTTCAGCTTGGCTGTGGCACCTAGTACTGTAATCTCTTCTAACATCAGAGTCTCTTGGGTATTTTTCACATGCAGGTTAGCATGGCAGTGCCCATGGCTACTTTAGTCTTTTCCCTGTGTTTATGCACATGCAGAAAAGGACTATTTGTGCTCCCTTTCAGTAGCACAACAGTCAGTCTGAACACATAATAGAGCTTAATTGTTACAGTTTTGAATGTATCCTAGGAGAGTAAATCATCCAATCAGTGACGTGGACTGCATGTGAAACACTAAAACTTGTTATTCAAGTAGCTTTGTACACTTTCTGTTTAATAGTCTCCAGACCATAGGGTGCTGGAAAAATAATTAGAATACCAAAAGAAAACAATACAGCTGTAAAAATGTATTATATATTAAATGAATAACTGCATATGTCAAGGTTGCTGTGCATATAATTATATGAACATTGGCTATCCTTTGTTCTGTTCTGATATGACTGAACCACAAGTGAATTTTCAAAATGTGCTTACAACATTTTTCAACATAATAGGTTTATCCACAGACCCTGGAAAGATATCTCACAGAGGACTGCATATTGCAATGGCCTTTGTGGCTATGAATACATGTCTG